TTACATACCTATCTTGAACGACTTAAGACCCAAACCAGCAGGAAAAAGAAAAGTGTAAAGATAAGAGAAAAAACAGAAAATAGAAAAATAACAGGAGCAATCAACAAAACCAAGTTCTTTGAAAGATCAACAAAACTGACAAACTTTTAGACTGACTAGGAAAACAAAGACAAATTATTAAATTCAGAAATGAATGAGAACATTACTGCTGACCTTAACAAAAATGGGAATTAAAAGAGAATACCGGGATTCCCTCGTAGTCCAGTGGTTAACCTCTGAGCTCCCAATGGAGGGAGCATGGGTTCTATCCCTGGTTGGGGAACTAAGATCCCACATGCTGTGTGTCCAATAAATAAAATAAAACAATTAAAAAAAAGAGAGAGAATGCCATCAACAAATGTACACCAACAAATCAGATAACCTACAGGAACGGACAAATTCCTAGGAAAATGCAAACTAACAAAAATGACTCAAGAAAGAAAATCTGAATAGATCTAGAACAGGAGATTGACTCAATCAACAAGGAAAAACCTCCCAACAAAGAAAAGCCCTGTACCAGACACCTTCATAATTGAATACCACCATATATTTAAAGAAATATAAACACAAATCCTTCTAAAATTTCTGAAAAACTTGAAGAGGCAACAATTCCTAGTTCATTCTATGAGGCCAGTATGACATCAAATGCCCCATGGTCAGAGAAAACAGCGTAAGAAAACAAAGTAACAGTCCGATACACTTTATGAATATAAATGCAAATATTCTCAACACAAGTGTACCAGTGTTCTAGGGAAGTGATAAAAATTTCAACAAATTAGGCAGCTGAAGAAAAAAGAAACACACTCTCTCACACTCTCAGCTCTGAGGCCAGAAGTCCAGACTCAACATGCCTGTCTCCTCCCGGATGGCTCAGGCAATCCTTGACACTACTTGGTTGACAACTACGTAGCTCCATGTCCACCTGAGTCTACTAATGCACAGAAAACACGTGGAACAAAGCGACATGTTCACACACACACACACCCATCTAAGATCGTATCAGCAAAGTGTGCTGTGGACAAACACTACAGGGCAAATGACTCAGGTACTGTTTCCCATGAGTAAACTGGCAAAGAGGGGAAAAGGAGACCACAGAAAGACCTAAGAGAAATATCAAGATATTGCAGTGTATGTACCTTATTTGAATCAAGCTTATGGACCTTTGTGAGATCCTGATTCAACAAGTATAAAAGAAAACAGGAGACAATCAAGAAATTTTGAACAATGACTGCACATATTATGGATTAAAGAAAGCCATGTTAATTCTTTTTAGGTGTGATGATATACTGTGCATTTTTAAAATATCCACGTAAGTTAAAAATGCTCACAAAATTTAAATGCTCAACAGAAGACTGGGATAGGGGAGGGTAGAAAGGAAACAGTTGGCTATGACTTGGTCATTGTTAAAGCTAGATATCAAGGTAGGGATTCTCTCTACTTGTATGTATGCTTGAAAATTTTCCATAGTAAAACTATTTTTAATATATCTGTAAAAATTTATCACTTTAGTATCTCTCATGTCCATTCCCTCATTTTTAACCCTCCCACTACTCTCAAACAGTTTCTCAGTAAATCCCTTGAATTTACTGCAATAAAGCAAATTCCTATCTTTGTGGAATGTAGATTCCAACATCACAGTATAAATTATAGGACCTCAAAATACAAACTCAGATGGTAAAGAATCTGCCTGCAATGCGGGAGACTCAGGTTAGACCCCTGGGTTGAGAAGATCCCCTGGAGAAGGAAACGACAACCCATTCCAGTATTCTTGCCCGGAAAATCCCATGAACAAAGGAGCCTGGTAGGCTACAATCCATGGGGTGGCAAAGAGTCAGACATGACTGAGCAACTCACACAAAATAGGAATAATCAAAACTATCCTTGAAAAACAGCTTTTAACTCCAACAGAGAAAGTGCATGCTATTGAACATTGTTATGAATATATAACGCTGATTTATTCAAATTCTTCTAATTGTTCTGTCAGATAGTATCTATCAACGGCCCTCAACTCATTTTAAAATTTCCTCTTCAAGAATATAGATAAGCTGACACCACCTCTTGCCTGGCCCCTTCAATTGTACACTTCCTGTCTTTAACAATGATGGTTGGGAAAGCCTTAAAATCATTCACAAGAGATTTCCATATAGGTTTGGCTAGAGTTCAGTCAATAAAATGGCAGACTGAATTACCTCTACAATCGTTTTTTCTATCTCTTCCTATGTCTCTGATTTTAAGTATGTTAAAAGCACACAGGATCCAGCTACACCTTTCCTTTTTATAGTTGGTCTGGTCTCATACACTTCTAACCCATTCATAAGGCTGTCAGAGTGATCTTTCTAAAACAGAAAACTCATGTTATTCCTCAGCTTCAATGGCTCCTGATAATTATCAGAACCAAGCCTTGAACTAAAAAGGGGGAGGGGGAGAAGAAAGGCAAAGGGAGAAGAAAGGCAAAGGGAGAAGGAAGGAAAGGAAGGCACGTCAAGACTGGGGGAGGAGGCTGGAGGGGAGGGAGGGAGGGAGGGAAAAGACAAGCATGGGAAAGGGAAGAGCAGCTCCACCTCTCAGAAGGCCTACCATTCAAACTTTACAATGCAAATCCCTGATACACCTGCCTCTTTATCATTTGCTTCTCCCTTTGCCTATAACTCACTTTCAACACAACAATCTATGCTGAAACACTTACCTTCAACAAAGATCTATGGAGTAGTTGACACTGAAGAAAATCAAAAGTAAAAGTGAGAAATTCCTGATCATGATCACTAGAGAAAGAAAACTAAAACTTGGAACATAATTTTCCAGCATGAAAACTGGTGTTAGTTGCTAGGTTGTGTCTGACCCCTTGGACTGTAGCTCACCAGGCTCCTGGAAAATGGGTATTAGATATACAGTATCATCAATACTATACATCAGGCACATTGTGGGATTTTGCTAACCACTCTGCAAATACAATTAGCATTTCTACAGGAAAATGCATTTCATGCTCCAAAATAATTTTGGAACGGAATTTAGAATCTTTTAAATACACACCAAATTTAGACTATAACACAGATGGCACTGCAAATCAATAAGGAAAAATGAACTGAAAGAAAAAAGGAAAGAAAGAAAAAAGAAGTCATAAAAATACTAGAGAAGGTACTCCCCTGGTGGTCCAGTGGTTAGAACTCCACATTTCCACTACAAGAGGCACAGATTCAGTCCTTGGTCAGAGAACTATCCCACATGCTGTGCATTGCAGCCAAAAACAAACAAAAAACAAACTTAGAGGAAAATGTGAAAGCATTCCCTGTATAACTTTGGAGTAGGGAAACTGTTTAACTAATGGTTCAAAATATCAGAAGCCATGACACATAAGATTAATAAATTCAACTAAATAAAAATCAAAACCTTCTGTATGGATAAAAACCCCAAGAGTAAGATTAACAGCAAGAATGAATCATCAAAAAAGCCTAATATATGAAGTGCTCCTATGAAAGCTCCAACAAATCAAAAAGAAAAAGATCCAACGACTAAATAGAAAAAGCATATGAAGAGATCACAGAACAGACAACATGAATTGCTCTTAAAAACATGAAAAGATGCTCAGATTCAGTCATAATAAGAGAAATGCAAAATACAAGCTCTGAAATACTTTCACCTACTGGATTACCAAAGACATGAAGAATAAATAGGTTTTCATTCATTACTGCTAGGAACACAAACTGGTACAACCACTAAATGGAATGATTTGGGAATATCTACCAAAATTAACTGCAAAATCTCTTCCATCCAACAGTTCCACATCTGAGAATTAATAAAAACCTACAGATGTCACTGCATACAAGCAAAATGACATATATACAAGCAGTAGTCATAAACACAAAAGATTAGAAAGTCCATCAACAAGTGACTAATTCCATAACATGCAGTAATAAAGAAAGCTCTATACTGATAGTAGATAAACTGCTTGGGGAAAAAACTTCAGTTGCAAGAGAGTATGCATACTATTAATCCATTTGTATTAAAGTTACAAAAATAAGTCTCCTCATATTTATTGGTATATGCAAAAAAGTAATAGAAACTATGCTGGTGGCAGAAAGTTTACTGAGAAACTGTGTAGATGGTTAACAGAAGTAGGAGGGTGGTTTTGAATATTTAAAATTTTGGATAAAGTGACTTATGGTCTAAACATTAAATTTAAACAGATATATTGCTAGCCAAAAACACTATTTTTTCCTTTTATTTACTTGTGTCATGACACTATTCTATGCCAAAAATGCTTTATAGAGTTGGCTGCCCAAAATGGAAGTACATACTAACAGTGGCTTAATTTCTACTTTTTTGAGATTCATCAGTTACTTAATTTTTATAGTATGCCACAGATGAATTAAATCGATGCCTACACATTTAAGAATGGTACTGAGCTATAAAGAAACATGGGACTTCTTTGAGAAAGGTAACTAAAAATGGAAATGAAAACTAGAAATACAAAAGGGGCCTTAGGAAAATAAACCAAAATTTAAGGGAAATCAAATTTATTTATATACAAACAACAAAGATCCACAGGATGTCAAAATTAACATTCATTAGAAACATCATTTGTCTAGCAATACACAAAAGAGGGAAAAAAGAATCTAAAACAACAGATTTTTATCTCTAACCAAGAAAAAAAAAGTGGCTTATTTTCCCAACAGTAATTTCTAATATAAGAAATTGTATCCATTAAAAAAAAAAATTCTCAAGATTTTAATTAGAAGTATATGGATCATCCTGCACTAAAAACACAAAACAAAATATACCTAAGTTTGCCCAAAAAGTAGAAAAATTGTGCTTCAATAAAAAGAAAATTCATGAATTACACCCAATACTGATAAAAATTTGAGTGGCCATCACTATTTGATATAAATGAATTACCAAATATTTTAAAATACATCTGCACTCCCGTTCTCAAGAAAAATTTTTTCAAAATTTTCTGCACTTACCGCCATTATCTGTTCTTTTTAGAGCTCCATCCTTATGAGGACACAGTTCACATCTCTATTAAAAGGGGGGGAAACAAAGAGATTTTTCAGATTACCAAAGTATAACATCTTCCCCTGTAACTTCAAAACTATTCAAAATGTGGCAGTGGCATTTTCTCTTAGTTGCCACCAAGAATAATTCAGAAAGATCCTCACCAAATAATTCTCTGTGATAAGTGATCATCCTCAGAGTACAAGACAAGAACTTTTAAAAAGCAAAATTTAGTGAACAGTAAAATGTTAAGACTTTTTCCTTCTTGTTGTATTAATAGAAATAAAGAGGTTCTCTGAACACAGTATTTGGGCACGATTTTTAGTATTTGCCTCTATCCCTTTACTGTCGAATCCACCAGATTATTACATAGTCAGCTGGATCTGGTTTCTCCTGAAATAAAGAGGCAAACTCAAATTCATAATTTCAACTTAAGCAGATTATGATCTCATATGTGATGACCTGTCTTTGGAAGGCAAGAACTGCTCTAATTATTCCCACTATTCTTTTCATTCACAGCACAGTGATTGATACTCAGTAGTTATTATGGATCCCTCTCTCTATCACTCCCACCATTTAAAACCAGAAGCAAACACCAAGCCAGTATTACCATTCCTTTTCCCTACTGACAAGAGGACTGAAATAATTATAAAAATAAAGAGTTTTCAGCGGCACTGTCTTACTATAGACTATATTTCTAGAAGTGATAAAGTCATATATAACTATTTATTATCTGTATCCTTCCTTACTCTCCAAAGAGGTTTTGAGAGTCACTTCTTAAGTAGGTTGATGAGAAGTCCAGGGTGCCCAAGTAGGAGAAATTGGTCTGGGGCAAAGGAGAAGAAAAGGACAAACTTCTCTACATTCCTCAGTCTTAATCACATTTTTGTTTTTGTTTTTTTTTCCTTTAAGCCCAGAGCTGATGATTACACAACAAAACAACTCATCTTAAACTCTGTACTAAGGATTATATAACAACAAAGTATCCTGCTTGAGGACATGTTTTTCCTTCTTAAGAACCTTCTGACTAATCCTGTTATCTTAAAATGTAAATTGTGGGAGTGGGTATGGTAACACCTTTACAACCTTGAGGCATTCTTTGATTTATTGTAATAACCAACTAAAAAAGTATCTAGCTCCCTTGCTAAGACTAGCGAGGAGGGCACTCTCCACCCCCTTCTAATGTCTACATCAAAAGCCTTCTCTGTCCTTTTACACTGTAATAAAACTTCTGCCACACAAGAGCCCTGAGTGGTCAAGCCTGGTCCCTGATCCTGAAGCTAAATTTTCTTCTTCAGAGACGACCAATCCAATACCGTTCACCATAAGCTATCAGTTTGAAGCATATAATATGGTAATATAAATGAGCTACTAAGGAAAATAAAGAGCAGGAAGTTAGCTGGTTAGGGAGGATAAACACCAAAGTACTAAAATCATCTACATCCACCAGAAGCAGTTATGGCATATACAAAACAACTAGATGTAAATTATATCAAAAACAGTCACCATGAGGGGAGGAGAATACAAAAGCAGGTTTTTTAAAATGCACTTGAAATTTAGAGGTCAGCAACTTAAAACAATCCTATATATATAGAGCACTATATCAAAATCTCACAGTAACTGCAAACCAAAAATCTGTAATAGATAACACACATAAATAAGAAAAAGGAATCCAAACATAACCTAAAGTATGAAAGTATGGAAGTATTAGTCACTCAAGTCGTGTCCAACTCTGTGACCCCATTGACTGTAGCCTGCCAGGTTCCTCTGTCCGTGGGATTTGCCAGGCAAGAATACTGGAGAGGGTTGCCATTTCCTTCTCCAGGGGATCTTCCCAACCCAGGGATCAAAACCAGGTCTCCCATATTGCAGGCAGACTCTTCAACATCTGAGACACCACGGAAGTCCAGAAACGTAACCCAAAAAGGCCATCAAATCACAAGAAAACAAAAGAATAATAATGGGGAAAAAAGACCTACAAAACAAATCCAAAACAATTAACAAAATGGCAATAAGAACACATATATCAATAATTACCTTAAATGTAAACAGACTAAATGCTCCAACCAAAAGGCTGGCTGAATAGATACAGAAACAAGACCCACATACATGCTGCCTACAAGAGACTCACTTAAGATATAGAGACACACACAAAGTCAGAGGGTGGAAAAAGGTATTCTAAGCAAATGGAAAAATCAAAAGTCAGAGTAGCAATGCTTGTATCACACACAGACAAAATGAGAGGGTGGAAAAAGGTATTCCATGCAAATGGAAAAATCAAAAGTAAGTTAGGTACAAGTCAGTCTGTTCCAGACAAAACAGACTATAAAGACTGTCACAAGAGACAAAGAACATTACATAATGATCATAGAATCAATCCAAGAAGATGAAACAGCTATAAATGTATATGCAACCAACACCAGAACATCTGAATACATAAGGTAAATATTAATGGACAAAAAAAGAGAAACTGACAGTAATACAATAATGGTAGGAGACATCAAGTCCCCACTTCATCAATGGACGGATATCCAGAGAGAAAAGCAATAAGGAATCACTGACGGGCCGTGATTAAGACTCCACACTTTCAGAGCCTAGGCTCCCAGTTCAATCCCTGGCAACGTGGCACAGGAAAGGGTGCTCAATATTGCTAATTATCAGAGAAATGCAAATAAAAATTACAATGAGGTACTGCTTCACAGCAGTAAGAATGGCCATCATTAAAAAGTCTACAGGACTTCCCTGGTGGTCCAGTGATTGAGAATCTGCCTGCCAATGCAGGGGACACACGTTCAATCCCTGGTCTGGCAAGATTCCACTGCCATGTAGCAACTAGGCCCAGGCACAGCAACCACTGAAGCCCATGCAGCCTAGAGTCTGTGCAATGTGACAAGAGAAGCCACCGCAATGAGAAGCCCTCACATCACAACTAGAAAGTGAAGTGAAGTGAAGTCGCTCAGTCATGTCCGACTCTTTGCCACCCCGTGGACTGTGGCCCACCAGGCTCCTCCGTCCATGGGATTCTCCAGGCAAGAATACTGAAGTGGGTTGCCATTTCCTTTCTCCAGGGGATCTTCCCGACCCAGGGATCAAACCCAAGCCTCCCGCATTGCCGGCAGACGCTTTAACCTCTGAGCCACCAGGGAAGTTGTTTTGTTTTTTAAGCCTACAAACAACACAGGCCAGAGAGGGTATGAAGTAAAAGGAACCCTCCTACAGTGCTAGTAGGAATGTTGTAGCCACTATGGAAAACAGAACAGAGGTTACCAAAAAACTAAAAATAGAGCTACCAAATGACCCAGGAATCCCACTACTGGATGGGCATGTATCCAGAGAAAAAACTCAAAAAGATACATGCACCCCAATGCAGTATTAATAGCAATACTATTTACAACAGCCAAGGTATCAGTTCAGTTCAGTTCAGTCACTCAGTAGTGTCCAACTCTTTGGGATCCCATGAATTGCAGCACGCCAGGCCTCCCTGTCCATCACCAACTCCCAGAGTCCACCCAATGCCATGTCCACTGAGTCAGTGATGTCATCCAACCATCTCATCCTCTGTCATCCCCTTCTTCTCCTGCCCTCAAATCTTTCCCAGCATCAGGGTCTTTTCAAATGAGTCAGCTCTTTGCATCAGGTGGGCAAAGTATTGGAGTTTCAGCTTCAACATCAGTCGTTCCAATGAACACCCAGGACTGATCTCCTTCAGGATGGACTGGTTGGATCTCCTTGCAGTCCAAGGGACTCTCAAGAGTCTTCTCCAACACCACAGTTCAAAAGCATCAATTCTTCTGCGCTCAGCTTTCTTTCTTCACAGTCTAACTCTCATATCCATAAGTGACCACTGGAAAAACCATAGCTTTGACTATATGGACCTTTGTTGGCAAAGTAATGTCTCTGCTTTTTATATTTTTTTATTTTTTATTTTTAATTCATCTGTATTTGTTACAACTTTTTAAAGCAGAATGTGACTTAAGCACTACATTTCCATTCACAAAACTTGCTCCAAGTTACTTTTCCAGCAGCTTTACAATATGCCTGGGCAGGCTTATAATTTTGTTACTCTAAACAATATTTTTCTTTGGAAAACAAGCCCTATGTATGGACAGCTACTCCAATCAAGTTGGTTCAGCTTAACACACTAACTTCTAGAGGCCTGGCACATGCAGTCGTTAACTACAGGTGATGGAAGTTTTAAAGTATATCCCAGAAGATGAAAACTTGCTTTAACAAGTGTTTCTTTTAAACATCACAGTATACTTCAGAACACTTCAGTGACAGAAAATTTTGGTCTACTAAAGAATCCGCTTGATAGCTAAACACTTCAGACCACCAAAGTTAACACAGGTTACATACACACCTTACAACAAACGTAACTACTTCCATCTGTTAAAATAAGCCAATATGAAACCAGGAAAAAACAACTAGCTCTGCTTTAGTGCTAAAAGTATCACAGTATCACACTTAGTATAAAGAAATCTTATCATCCCCTTATGTAGTTACCATGCCATACAGATTTTTAAATGTTAACAAAAACAAAGAAATACTTGAAAACATAGAGGGAATGGAGACAGAGTGCTGAACACATAGCCAAGCGATCCTCAGGCAGCGCTTAGTCTACTTCTTCCATGCGGGACATGTCATCATCTCTTTCCAGGGGAGGCATTTCCTCAGTGACTGCAGCACTACTGTCATCAGCAGTGGGGTCATCCTCGTCAATACCGAGACCAAGTTTGATCATCCTGGAGATCCTGCTGGCGTGTGTCTGGGGATCCTCCAGACTGAAGCCAGAAGATAGGAGAGCTGTTTCGTACAGCAGGATGACCAGATCCTTCACAGACTTATTCTTGTCAGCCTCTGCCTTTTGCCTCACGGTCTCGATGATGGAGTGGTCAGGGGTGATCTCCAGGTGCTTCTTGGCTGCCATGTAACCCATCGTTGAGTTGTCTCTCAGGGCTTGAGCCTTCATGATCCGTTCCATGTTTGCTGTCCGGCCGTATGTGCTTGTAACAATGCATGTCTCT